TATTACATGAAGATAACCATTTACCTTTGCTTGGTTAAAAGGATTCAAACAGTAGAGAATTATGTTAAAAAGAAAAAGTATGAGACTCTCTTCTCTCCCTAGCTTGTGTTAAGTTTAAATCTAAGCAAGGGCCTATGCTTGGAAATCGATCCCAAGAGTTCATCTATCTCAAACATTCTTGAAATAGTTGAAAGGCAATAGACTCAATGCTTAGTTACAAAATGACTTATTTACTCATTTATGAAATTTACAGTGAGTAAAATAAAAATAAAATTATGTTGTGTTACCAAGCACAAGCCATATCTGTATTTCTAGCCATATTATCTATTAATATCTACTTATCAACTTCTCTCAAATCATCTTTTTTCCTTTCAATTTTCATAAGCTTCCATGCTTCTTCCAGGTAACACAGTAGTGTATGGCTTTTCTTATTCTCTTCCTATCTAAAATCAGTTAATCATCAAATCAGATCAAATTTTTTTTATAATCATTTCTGTATTCTTCTCATTCATGACCAGTTATGAATTATTGTTTTGTAGGGCAGCTATTGCAATTAGGTTTTAAAAATTTCTAATACTTGTGAAATCTTTTCTAGAAAAGAGGGAAAAAATGATAGAAAATTTGAAATAATTTTTATTTGGAAAGTAACCTATAGCGACCACTTCTTAGTAAACTTATTGTTGCAAAAACCTTAAAAAGTACATTCCAGGCCCTCCCTCGTGGCGCAGTGGGTTGAAGGGCTGCACTGCAAAGCTAAGCCAAGCTGTGGCTGCTTCAATATAAGTTTGATCCCTGCCCCAGAGGTGATCCACATGGGGTAGCAGACCTCTCCTGTCTCACCTGCCACTCTCTGTCGATCTGCCTGTTCTGCTTCCCACTCCATTTCTGGTGAATACTATCATGGCCCCTGCACCTCTGGCCTGTACCCCAATTCTGTATGCATAAATAAGTAAAATCTTAAAAAAAAAAAAAGGAAATTCCCTTTGACCCAGAAATTCCACTTTTAGGAATTTATATGGTAGGATAATAATAATAAAAATGCAACAATATCTGTATACAAGAAGGTTTGTTTCAGATATTTAGGACCTTGAAAAATTGGAAACAGCTTACTATTCAGTCAGAAGGTACTAATTTTATTTTATTTTATTTATTTTTTTAAAATTTATTTATT